TAAATAAAACTACAAATCTCATATACAATATTACTTAGTAAAGAACCTACTCATGGGCCCCAAGATAATCATGGGTGCATTTATACAAACCCTAGCATCTTAAGAAAAAAGCTAAATACTATTGAGCATTGATAGTTTATAATTTTAAGTTAAGGTTTTACAGAATTCAGTCTTAAATCAGAAGAATGACCAAAAAAAAAGGCAAAAAATAAGCTATTACATGGGAATCAGATTAAACTGTCCATGGACCCAAGCAACTGAAAAAGAAATGAAAGGTGAAGGAAGTAGATTTCTGCGTAGTAACTGAAAGACTTCTAACAATAAGTACTTGCTGAAGATGAAGATAATTTCTGAGTCCATATAACCAGAAGGATTAGAGCAGTGATCAAACAAAAAGGATATTATAAAATGAGATTCAAGAATTAGAGAAGTAGACTAACTGAGCCCCTTAATGTGTCTCCAACTCTGGAAAAAAAACAGCATTATTTAACAATAGATCAACAACAGCTAACCATTTACCAAGTACTTATAGCGACAAAGGTACTATGATAAGCAAAAAGGCTTCTCACCATTTCAGAGGTGAAGAAATGAGCTTAGCAAGTTAGGACAGTGGCCCAAATCACACAGTGACGTGACAGAACAGAAATTCAAACTGTTTCTTGTTTTCAAGACAGAGAAATAGACTTCTAGAAATACATGCCCTGACCAGATACATGAAATTAAAGCCAAATTATGTCTGCTTCTGTTCAAAATGCATAAAGTAAGTAATAATTGAGTTCTTTTTATATATTACTCTGTTTTGTTTTAGATAGATAGATACTAGTTAGAATATATATTATAGTGTATGCAAATGATGGTATATTATACAAAGAATAAATACTTGAAAGATGGGGAATATATTTAAGTATTTTTGTTTTAAAATTTAAAATACACCACAGAGCATCACTGTAACAAGATCTCATCATCAATCAATAGGAAAGAGAGATGAAATTTCCTTATTTTGTGTAAAGTTTACAATGTTATCTTAATTTCTGCAGAGACAGGGCTTTTGATAAGTAACTGCGGAGACTCATCACTCTATAACACACTAGCTAACAGTTACAGCCTTTACAAAGAGGACTGATTTGTATGAACTCTGCTTAGCTATAAGGGTATACTTTACAAAGTAACAGATAGGACTCCCTTTTAATTAAACATACTGGAGAGGGTGGGACCAAATTGCTCCTTAGAGGTGAGCCTTTTGAAGGTTCTTCAGGCATGTTGCCAGGAGAGACCAGTCCTTGGAGAAGGACATCAAGCTTAGAAGGGTGGAGGGGACAATGTGGAGAGAAAGACCCTGGGTGAGATGGACTGACACAGTAACTGGGGTAACGTGTCAGAGACAGTGGGACTGACTCAGGATAGGGCAGGGCTCAAAGCTATTATACAGAAGGTCGCTACGAGTCACAGGGGATGCAACAGCACATAACAGCAACAAAACAAAGAAGGATGGAAACAAGAAGGAAAAGGCATCTGTATACATTTTTAAGTTTTAATAATCTATAAACTTTACAAAACCAACAAAAACACTAAAAAGGGCTTCAGGAAGCACAGGGCTTCAAGTCATATGGTTCCAGAAAAACTGTTTCAAGAGCCTCAATTCTACCTTTCAAGACAGACACTCAAAAGTAACCTATCTTATCAGAATAGAAATGGAAAGGCATTTTTAAAACTCTTAAAAAATGAAATGGTTAAGACATCAAAAAGCAAAAGAACTGCTGGAAGCATCCTAGAGAGCTCTGGTGGGCTAGTGGGTAAGGAGTTGTGCTAACAACCCAAAGGCTAATGGTTCAAATTCACTAGCTTCTCCACAAGAGTAAGATGGACAATCTCCTCTCATGCGTTTTCCTGCCTCTGAAAATCCACTGGAGGGCCAGCTATGTGTCCTTTCCAACTGAAAAGTATAAAACAACAACAACAACAACAACAACAATTACAGGAAAACAGCTTTTTAAATGGTCCCTAAGCAAACTCTTAGAGGAGCAATTGTGGGGCTACTTTAACGAAGTTCTATTACTAAAATTTATAGAAAACTTACTTTAAATGAAAGTAAGATTGAAAAGTATGTAACAAAGTATACAAAATACAGCATGTATGGGGGAAAGAAAGAATAAGTATTAGATACTAAAAATGTGCCAGATCTTAATGAAATACAGATTATGAACAATACCTAAAAAAACACAAGGTGTGTAGCATTTACCCTTAGTTTATAGAGCATTAACAAAGGCTTGGCGGGGCGGGGCGGGGCTAACTAACCAAGTGACAGGCTAGAATAAAGTCAAATGATAACCTAATGCTCTCAAGAGTTAGCCAACGCTATCCTGCATGTTTCACTTAACAGACTCGTTAGTTTTGTTTATACAATTCACTTTCTTATAAGACAGTAACCCAACCTGGCTGAGCCTCAGTTTTTATCATCAATCCTAAACAAGTCAGTCCAGAAGAAATTCTTATGAAGATTTCTCCTCCTTCCCAGTTCTACTCTTCTAATTTTCTCCCAGAAGACAAATTGAAAGCAGCTCTCATATAAAATAAGACCAACTTAGGTAAAGAACAGGTACTTTAACATGTGCTTTAAAGATATACTCAGTTCCACCAGAAATTTAACTTATATAAGCAATTTAACCTGTCAAAAAGAAACAAAACATAAAAGCCTGAAAAGGCAATTCAACCACATTTACTAGTATTTTTTTCTGAACCTGAATAAAACGCAACATGAAAAAACAACTCAGTGACCTATAATTCTGAGAACTTTGTATATTGTTCAGTACAAAAATTCACAGGGAAAAATTACTTGAAACATACATGAAGTACTACGTGGTTGTTGTTGTTGTTGTTGTGTGCCGTCGAGTCGTTTGCGACTCATAGCAATTCTATGTACAACAGCCCTAAACCCTGCTCTATCCTGTGCCAACCTCATTGCCTCCGACACACCCATCCCGATTACCCCAGTCACTGAATCAATCCACCTCATAGATGATGTACTATACAGATTTAAAATTCTTATTCTGGCACCCACAACACAAAACCCCACAACCCTCAGCAGATAGCAATGCACAGTGAGCCTCCATTAGGTTTATGGCAATGTCAATCACATGGGAGGGGCATCCTCCTCTCAATGGTTTCAAACCATCAAACATTGAAGCAGGAGTCTAACTCATAACCATTACAGAAAATGTAAATCATCCAGATTTTCCTGAACGGAGTTTGTTCATATTTATGTTCTTTTGTAGTGGGAGGGAAAATTATCAACTACTTCATGTAGCTCTTAAAACAAAAAATCAACCCTACAGCATGTTTGACAGGCTACCACCTAGCATGGTTTTCCAGGTCTGGTCTCAGAGGGGTGGGAACTTAAGTTCAGAATGAGAAAGCTAATTCTGAGCGATTTGAATCATGGCCACTTAACAAATGTATCTTAAGAACCTAAGTAGTATTACTGCAGTGATATAATCCACATTACCTTAGAGCACTATAGACAGATTGAGAGAGATGTGAAAATGGTTTTCTAGTTTTGAACTAACTTGTTCTTTCTCATCTATTTTTTATTCAGAGCCTGAAACATGATTTCACACCAGAAAGGAGATGCCCAATCAATAAATGGAGCATTTCGAAAAGACTTAGGAGTCATATAGTGAAGGAGTTCCCACAGCTAAATTTGGAAAAATTTAAGCATTCATTTAAATGACAACAGACATAACCCATTCACTAAAAGAGAAATATATGAGTCCAAATTGAAGTACATAAATGAATACATTAGTGAAGGTGGATGGAAAGATTTTCTCTACAATTATTAAATACAATTGGCATTTAATTATGTCAATTAAAAAATACAGATGGAATTGTGGCTTTAGAAAATTAAAATTATGGATGGCCATGTCATAACTGTTATTTTTAGGCAAGGAACACACACAAATGGACACTAAAAATGAGTGAGTGATAAACTGGAGAATTAGACCATCTAGCCACAAATTACTTATTAACCGCCTCAAAACTCACTGCTGTCCACTCAGACTTGACTCACACCTGACCCTCCAGCTGGTTTTCAGAAACTATAAATCATATGGAAGGAGAATGTCCATCTTTCTCCCAAGAAGCAGGTGGTGGACTCGAACCGTCCTCCTTTAGAATAGTAGTACATGTCTCTTCCAGGCCACTCGGGCTAACTAGTAATGAAGTATAAAGTGAAAATTAATAGCCTAGAGCTAATAACGTACTTATTAAATGTACACTGGAGAAATCTGGCTGAGTATCACCTCCACCGAGTGATCAATGTGAGCTCACTACTGACAGGGCACTAACATTAATACCTTGTGCTACTGAGAACACAGGATCTCCATACTGGAATCTGATTGTCAGGAATCTGTTCCAGATCAAGGGATATTATATAAAACATGTGTCCTGCATGTATCAAGCCCTCAAGGTCAAGAATGAAAAAAAAAAAACACACTGAAAAAGTCTAAAGATATGAAATCTAAATAGAGTGTAGGATTATAGATTTTTTTTTATACGGCATTAAGCTATAAAGGACATGATTAGTGTATTTGGAAACCTTTTTATTGGACTATGGATTAGATATGGGCTCTCATCAATATAAATTTCCTCATTTTCATTAATTATACTTTGGCTGTGTCTGGGAATGTAAAAATGTATGGTACGAAATGCACACTCTAAAAACAAAAGAGCATCAACTCTGGCTTCTCAAATATTTTCAAAAGGAGGAAATAGTTTTAAAACAAGAGACACACACAGAGACTGAGAGAGAGAGAGATACAGAGAGATACTTTGTACAATTTCTGAGACTTCTCCCCAAGTTACAGCCACTCAAAATGAAAACAAAAGCTAGTGAATCATTTCATTTCTATGACAATAAATCACTGCAGTTGAGAACACAGGAAGGCTGAGTATCCACCAGCACACCTGGTGTCTCCGCTTCACTGGCAGACAGCTTCTTCTCTTACCTTTCTAATAAGTTGTGGATTGCTTTGAAGAGCAGTGTTCTACATTCATAGGAAAGGCCATTTTCCCAGAGTCCTTCTTCCACAACTGAAAGAAATAAAAAAAAAAAAGAAAAAGTAAGCAAGATAGCCAGCTAAAAGATATTAAAACTCTCAAAATACTTCTCTAGTGCATAATAATAAAAATCTACAAATGGTATGCAATTCTTTCACTTGCTTACTTAATGCAAGTTTTCAGAAACAGAAAAATTAGCAAGATTTTACTGGTTTTCTGGCTCATTATTATTATAAATGTTGTAGAAAAATAAAATTTTTAAAAAAACTCAACCAAACATAAATAACTTAAATAATCTCACTCTGAAATATAGAAAAAGACAGTAAATATCTGCTTAAAAAGTGACAAAATATTTTATGATCGTTTGTTCTGCTTTAAAGAGATGAGGCATAGTACATTTCCTTTATGTAAAGGTCTTTCAGCCCACTTTTTCAAAATTTAAAATCATTCAGATTCTCAAATGACTGTCCAATAAGTAATATCACGCAGCTTAAGTTTGCGGAATTTCTACTGCAAGGTCACAAAAATGTCACAAGCTGACACCAAAGTCTATGTACTTTCATAGAGAAAATCAAAAAGGAAAGAAAAGTCCCAAAATGTCAGAGTTCTAAAAATTCCCTTCAATTCTTTGAAGGTCACATCTGGATGTACTTTGTATATTTTTTTAAAAATTTTATTAGGGAGAGTATCTGGAAATTAAATCTTGATTTAACATCAAACTTCGTTCTTGAACTCATAATTTCATTAATGCTTGACATTTTGTAAAAGAAATGTATTTCCCTTTGAAATGTGTTATAATACTGGGTCACAAGTCACACTAACATCAAGAGAATCCAAGAGATTAGCAGTGCCACATTGCAGCCCAAAGAAGCTTTTCCTTATTTCAGTCCATATAAATGACAGAAAATGCCCCAGAGAAGAAGGTGTCCCTTTAAATTAGGTTAGTTTAAGTCAAAATAGTAAAAAACTGGAAGGATTAAGATATCATTTGCAGAATAATATTTTCTCTGTGTTTCCTTGTCATCTTTCGAATGGTACTCACCTGAGAAAATTCTGACAGTAAATGAAAATACATGTTTAAATCTACAAAGTATCTTTTTAATGCTTTCACTACATCAACAGTCATGCTAAAATGTGTATTCCCCATCCAGAAAGATTTAAGGTGTATTTACATTCATGACTCTTGTATCTATAGGGTCTTCTAGTTTTCGCTTTGTTCTAATAACAAACCTGATGCTTATTTTTCTTGATAAGCCAGAAAAGCAGGTTTGTTTGTTTTTATTTCCTGTATTTTTAACTAACTCAAATGGTAGCTGAAAATCATTTTTGCCACATTTTGTCTTTTAGTCATAAAAATCATTTAGGTGATTTACTGTATTTTCCCAAAGTAACCTCTCAAATATTTTGTTACTTACAACTAGAAAAATGAAAATAAATTGTTGTTGTTGTTATGTGCCGTCGAGTTGCCTGCAACTCATAGCGACCCTATGTACAACAGCCCTAAACTCTGCTCTATCCTGTGCCAATCGCACTGTCTCCGACACTCCCATCCCAATTATCCCAGTCACTGAATCAATCCACCTCATAGAGGGCCTTCCTCTCCTGCGTTGTCCCTCAACCCTCCCAAGCATGATGTCCCTCTCCAAGGACTGGTCTTTCCTCACAACATGTCCAAAGTATGTTAGACAGAGTCTCAGAATCCTTGCCTCCAAGGAGCCACCCGGTTTTAACCCTTTCCAGGACAAATCTGTTTGTTTTCCTAGCAGTCCATGGTATTCTCAGTACTCTTCTCCAGCACCACGTCTCAAAGGCATCAATTCTCCTTCTATCCTCCTTGGTCATTGTCCAGCTCTCTGATGCATAACAGGTGATTGCAAAGACCATGGCCTGTATCAGACGTACCTTAGTCTCCAAAGAGACACCATTGCTCTTCAGCACTTTGGAGAGGTCCGTAACAGCAGACTTTCCCATTGCAATGCATCTTTTAATTTCCTGGCTGCTGGTGCCAAGACTGCTGACTATGGAGCCAAGCAAACTAATCTCAATCTCTTCACCATCCATCCTGATGCTGCCAATTGGTCCAGTGGTGAGAATCTTTGTCTTCTTGACATTGAGCCTCAATCCATATTGTAGGCTGCAGTCCTTGACACTCTGCAGCAGGCGCTTCAGGTCCTCTTCAGTTTCAGCAAGCAGGGTTGTGTCATCCGCATAACACAGATTGTTTATAAATCGTCCACCAATCTTGACTCCACATTTCTCCTCATAGAACCCAGCCTCCCGGATAATCTGTTCTGCATATAAATGCCCCTGCTACCAAGATGTTGATCTCTGTTCAATACAAAACATCTAATAGTTTCCTAGGACTTGTGGATCTCTGCTTGCACGTGTTGACCTGGTGGGTAGAGCTCTCCCTTGAGTAGGAAGAGGTCTAATGTCTTAAAGGAATACTCTTCCCTAAAATCGCATTTATAAAATTACTTTATAATAAAATAAAATTAATTCTTCTTCCCTACAATGTTCTACTTACTTAGCAAAAGGGAGGGGGAGGCGCAATAACAAATGGTTTCCACTGAGTATTTTCTGACTCAATGATACTGTAGAATGGAGCAGAACTGCCCTACAGGGTTTCCAAGATTGTAAATCTTTACAGAAGCAACTGCCATATCTTTCCAGGATACCTGGTGGGTTCAAACCACAGCTGAATCCTTCAGCCACAGCACCACCAGGTCTGAGCTGACCTTACACTCTCTCTATATGTATTAAGATGCAAATGAGACTTTTCTGCAAAATATTTGCACAATTTTTCGTCTTGTTTCCTTTGGGTTCTTAATCCAAAGTATGTTTGGTTAACATTCACTAATACATTACCAGAAGAAGAAAAAACAAAACAACAACAAAAAAACCCCAACAATTCAGAGACAAGAAAACAAAGATCAAGTGATGCTCCACATCAAACCAATATACTATCAGTTAACTTATATACTTCATAAAATGTCAGATGCCAATTTAATAAAAACTAGCAAGGAAAATAACGTGAAATAAAACAATTCAATCTACATTAAATTTCTCATGGTCAGGATAAATACAAAAGCTTTCAAAATAAAAAAACTAACTACTGTAATTTAACAGTAAACAGATAAAATATAAGTCATTAAAAGTAATTATGAAAGGTGTAGTGTTTGAACTTTGTGGAAAACTTTCATTTCATAAACCTTACCTACCGCACTAAAGACTGGAGAGCAATCAGTAATTTACCGTAAGTCAAGAATTAACTAGTATTATAAGTATTACCAACTGGCTATAAGTCTAAAGAGAATACCTTAATAGAAAATTGTCAGCGCTTATTTTAGTATCTGTAGTTGAATAAAAAACATTTACTGTCAAGAAAACCTACGAATGGCTCTACTCTCTTCTAGATTATTGAGTTGGAATCGAAAAACAACAGTTAGCATAAGACACTCTGTTAGTACAACACGAAGTCAATAAAAGGCTGGCAGTTCAAACCTCATCAGAGGCTCGGTAACAGCAGGACCTAGTAATCTGCTTCTGTAAAAATTACAGCCAAAAAAGCCATATGGTTTTTGAACAGTCAGAAGAATAACTAGTCTTAAGTTTCCATAAATGGGTAGAGATGGCATTTACCACTTAATTCTTCATTTCCCTTTCAAGGTAGAAGAAGAAAAAGAAAATCAACTGTCAAGAAGTTGATAAAATGGCCTGTAGGTGTGAAGTTCCATCTTCGTGAATCATATTTCTGAAAGAGTATATACAATATATTCTTTTTTAAAAAGAGAAGAAGGGGAAGTCTAACTCTTTTTGAAGTGTTCTTTGAATTCCAAATTTAAGAGTATCAATTCCTTAGGAATACAAAGTACCTAGAAACTATTTATTATGCTTATATATTTTATTACATATAAAAGAATAGTGCACCAAAATGGCTTATTTCAGTGAAAGATCTTCCTAGAACACGCTTACAGGAAAAAAGATGACAGGAGTCAATTTAAAAAAAAAAAAATCCAGTACTAAAACATTCTTCTGATACCATTTAGTCCATTAGAGCCAGTAGGCATCCTGGTGGAATTTAAACTAAAAGATGGGGCACCTGAACCCAGTCTGTTCCAGTTAAGATCTACAGCCTCAGGAGCCTGGGGCAGGGGAAGAGAGGAGATCATCCGAAATCAGAATCAGTTTGGTTTTGTTTGATACAACAAGGCGGGGAAAAAAGAAAGAAAACTAAATTCTATGAGTTGCCTGTCTACAAGAAAAACTCATTTTAAAAACTCGCTTTAGTTCTCGTGTATTCCTTATAGACACTTACACGGGAAAGGCCATAATCAGAACTTGTTTCAATGTCGGTAATTCAATCTTTTTTAATATAGTAATCCTCATATAATCAAATATTTAAACTAAAAATTTGCTACATATAATGGCTTCTTAAGCATAGTGTTTTAGAAAGGAATATTTAAATAGTAATTATTGCTTAGTGCCTGGATAATTTTTCAAAATCCTCAAAAATTGTAAAACAACTTCTTTTAACTTTGTGAAACATGGTTCCTTGCAGAATTAATAAGCTGCTTTGAAAGAAAAACCATATAAAAGGTTCAGGGGGAAAGTCAATATGGCAACGTATCAAAGCAGCACATACTTCAATGATTCTGTGTTTCCCAGCAGAGATCTTGGAAAGAGATCCCTTCCAATTCAACAAATGAAACTGACATACTTTACTCGAAGGGAGGAAAAACTGAGGGAGGGAGAATGGAATAGGGATGGGAGGAGCATGGAGACTGTGAAACCTTGAAGAAATTCAAGCTCATGATTTTAGAATTCAGGTCACTCTGCCTTACACAGTTTAAAAGTAGAATTACTTTCAAAGAATACATATTTCCTCTGAGCTATGATACATATTTCCTTTTAATGTATCATATTGCAGCAACAGCTGAAATGAACGTCTAGACATCAAAAACACTTCTGACTCCCACCTACTGCTTTTTTACCTCAGGCATCAAAACTAATGAAACCTATTATCCAGAACA